AAGAGTGTTTGTTGTTATGGAAAAACTCCATGGAGACATGCTGGAGATGATCTTGTCAAGTGAAAAGGGCAGGTTGCCAGAGCACATAACGAAGTTTTTAATTACTCAGGTAAGAAATCAATTAGAGTCAGAAAAAAAAAAAGGTAATATCTAATATCAAATGGTATCACTGTTTACCTAGAGCTTTCTACCCTTGTTGTTTAGTCCCTACCTCCCCAGTCTAAACTACACTTTAAAAAAAAGTTGCAGTGGCTTATTGTATTCTCTAATTTATATCTGTAGCATCCAGAGCTCAGGATACGTACCAAATGAATAATGTGTGTGCAGGCCCATGTGTTAAAACTACTCATGAAATTTTAAAATGCACAGTGACTGAGTCCTCATTCTTTGAAAATATTCAGGAATATGTATCCTTGTTAGATATCATTGAATTCTTTTATCTACACCTGTTTTGGTTGCTATATGGATACCATAATATGATACGTTTTCCATTAAAGTTTCCTTAGAAACCTGCTGCGTTAATCTAGCTCATTTCAGGGACTGGAGTATAAAGAAACTCAACCATTCATTTTGAGTTTTCTCTTGACCCTCTAAATTTATGTCCTAGTAGAAAACATTTTGAAATAAACTTTTAGACTAAAATAAAATGATTTTGATGATTTTTTCCTTTATAGATACTTGTAGCTTTGCGTCATCTACACTTTAAAAATATTGTTCACTGTGACCTCAAACCAGAAAACGTGTTGCTAGCATCAGCTGATCCTTTCCCTCAGGCAAGTATGAAAGCCTCTCAGCAAAAAAGCCAGCGGACAGCATCACTGGTTCCCCTGCAGCATTCTGTCACCCTTTCTCCTCAAAACCTTTTTTTCAAGTCTCACCTGTCTGTTTTCATCCATTTGTTACCCTTCTTATATTGTGGGGACTGCAGCTTTGTCGCTCTGCATCTCAGTTCAGCCTGCCTTAATAATGCACACTGAGCCTCTCATTGTGCTTCTGCTTCTGTCGTGTGGACGTCCTGGAGAACTGGCAGCACTAGGTCAAAGCTGGGAGCACTAGCCTAAGAGGGAGACACTTAAGAGTCCCAGGGATGCTACCAGCTCTCTAATGTTAGGCAAGATATTGCAGTTCAGTGTTGTTCTCAGGGGCAAGGAAAAAAGTTTCTTCTTTTCCTCAATTCAGAGGATTCAAAACAACTGGATCTCTTCCCAGGAACTGTCATATCTGAAGTGACTGAGGTGGCTGTTCTGCCCTGGCTCCCTGATATCCTCGTGTCCTGGCTAGGTGTCTGTGCAGAGCTAATTTTGAGGATTATTGTGGATAGCATGATGCGTCCTTGTGCTTATCCTTCAACCTTTACTTATAATAAGCCCTTGAGTTAAATCCATCAGTTTGCATGATGTTTTCCTGCCTGGTAAAACAATATTACCCACTTCTGTGTATACATATTTTCACATTTATCTCTGGTTTTACGGAGGACGGAAGGAGGATATTTAGATGATATTTTTATGAATAAAAGCATACTTTTGTATCAGTACATAAACCACTATCTTCAAGTACATAAAATGGAAAATAGCTATTCTACCATGAGAAATCCATACAATATATGTAAAATATTACAGTTGTTTCTTAGCAGTTGTGGACTAAGACACACAGTTTGTGACCTTACTATATCTCCAAACCATTATTATCAACAGGTGAAACTTTGTGATTTTGGTTTTGCCCGGATCATTGGAGAGAAGTCTTTCCGGAGGTCAGTGGTGGGTACCCCAGCTTACCTGGCTCCTGAGGTTCTAAGGAACAAGGGCTATAATCGCTCTCTAGACATGTGGTCTGTTGGGGTCATCATCTATGTAAGCCTAAGTGGCACATTCCCATTTAATGAAGATGAGGACATCCATGACCAAATCCAGAATGCAGCTTTCATGTATCCACCAAATCCCTGGAAGGAAATCTCTCATGAAGGTAATATCTTCCATTCAAAAGTGATAATGATTTAATCATTGTGTTATATTATTAATTGAGTTGTGAATTTTTAAATTCATAAATGCTTATTTCAAATTGCCCACTAAGGCAGGGGCACAAATTTATTGAGGTGGATGGAGCAGTAAAGGAAATGGAGACAAAAATATCTCCTGGTAAAAAGTATATGTATTATAGAGAAATTGAGAAATACACATTAAAAGGTAAATGAAATAAAGAGAAACTTAATATTTGGTGTATTTCCTTAGAACTTATAAATGTTTACACATTGATATAATGGTAATACTTGGTATTTACTAACAGTAACCTTTTATTTACTATATGCCTATTTCTATGTTAAGCACTTTTAACTTATGGGCACAAGAACCTTATGATACTGATATTTTAATTGTCACATTACATATATTAGTATACCGCATTCTTTGTATACTGTTTTCCTATATGTGACATTAGAGCATGTATATTTTATACATATTCCCCGCTATTATATTTTTAGGTTATTTCTATTTGTTCAGTGTTAGATAACCTTTACGTATAATTTCTTATATGTATCTCTGATGCTTTTTTTTTTAGGATAGATTACCTTGGCAGTGTTGCATTATTTAAAATTAAATTCTTCTTAATAAATGTTTCCTTCTTAAAGGAAGAGTGATAGTTTTAATTCCTTCTTAAAGGAAGAATGATAGTTTTAAAAGAAGTGGTGGGGCAGTCAGGGCAGCGAAAATGGCTCACTGCATGCTTCAGAAAGCAGTTCCTGGGCTTCCCTGGTGGCACAGTGGTTGAGAGTCCGCCTGCCGATGCAGGGGATACTGGTTCGTGCCCCTGTCCAGGAAGATCCCACATGCCGCGGAGCGGCTGGGCCCGTGAGCCATGGCCGCTGAGCCTGCGCGTCCGGAGCCTGTGCTCCGCAACGGGAGAGGCCACAGCAGTGAGAGGCCCGCGTACCGCAAAAAAAAAAAAAAAAAAAGAAAGCAGTTCCTCATGAACGTGCTTTGGAGTTTATTTAAATCTCTCTCTCACACACACACACACACACACACACACACACACACACACACACAATGTGAAGATAGGTTTAACTATTATATCTATATTTCAAGTGAGAACACTGAATCAAAAGAAGTGAACCACCTGCCAAAATCACAAAGCTAGTAAGTGGCAGAGCCAGAATTTATGCCCAGATGTTCTGAGCGTACATTCTGTAACCACTGGTCCTGCTTCCTTTTTAGTTTTCAGGCAACATCTGGTTCTAAGTTTGTTGAGATTTCCCACCACTTAAAGAGGCAAATACATTCATAGATAAACATCTATTTGATACCTGTTATTGCACGCGGTGGTGCAGAAATTGGAAAAGAGCACGTATAAATTGCTTGGACAATTAGTTCTTAGACTACATTCATATTAAATGGCACGATCTATCTATTATCAGAGCTTTGAGTTACTATTGGCAGCAACCTTTTGAAAATATTGTATTGAAGTATAGTTGATTTACAATGTTGTGTTAATTTCCTCTTTACAGCAAAGTGACTCAGCTATACATATATAATTATATATATATATATATATATATATATATATATATATAATTCTTTTCCATTATGGTTTGTCACAGGATATTGAATATAGTTCCCTGTGCTATACAGTAGGACCTTATTGTTTATCCATCCTATATATAACTGTCTGCCTCTGCTAATCCAAAACGCCCATTCCTTCCCTCCCCTCCCCTCCTTGGCAACTACAAGTCTGTTCTGTATATCTGTGAGTCTGTTTTTGTTTTGTAGATATGTTGATTTGTATCATATTTTAGATTCCATATATAAGTGATATCATATGGTATTTGTCTTTCTCTGTCTGACTTACTTCACTTAGTATGATAATCTCTAGGTCCATCCATGTTGCTGCAAGTGGCATTATTGCATTGTTTTTGATGGCAGAGTAATATTCCATTGTACATATATACCACATCTTCTTTATCCATTCCTCTGTCAATGGCCATTTACGTTGCTTCCATGTCTTGGCTATTGTAAATAATGCTGCTATGAACATAGGGGTGCATGTATCTTTTTGAATTATAGTTTTATCTGGGTATATGCCCAGGAGTGGGATTGCTGGATCATATGCAACTCTATTTTTGCTATTTTGAGGAACCTCCACACTGTTTTCCATAGTGGCTGCACCAATTTACATTCCCACCAACAGTGTAGGAGGGTTCCCTTTTGTCCACAACCTCACCAGCATTTATTATTTGGAGACTTTTTGATGATGGCCATTCTGACTGGTGTGAGGTGATACCTCATTGTAGTTTTGATTTTGTCAACAACCTTTAACATCATTTAATTAGTTGTAAATCATAGCCAGGCGGATATATTTTGAAGGAATCTGTGACCTTAAAAAGAACTACCATGTAGCCAAAGGATTAATGAAATATTTAGGATAATTCAATAGGGGAAAAAAGGGAAGTGTAATTCTTTTTCTCAGCCAGGAGGCAGAAAGGAGAGAATTATCAAATAACCTTGTGACCTAACCTTGTCAGGGAACATTACCTTTAAATACAGTTAAAGGTATGTTTGATATCTATAATCTAGAAATCCAGTAGGATAACGATGTTATTACCACAGTGCAAATCTGAAATATCTCTAAAGCCAGTCATACATTTTCCTGTTATGCAAGAATAGGACATTAAAAACATAGCCTTCACATTAAAATTTTTTTTCTTGGAGTAGTAGAGTACTTTTTCTTGGAGTAGTGGAACAAATGATGCCCACTCTGGTATCATGGAAATATGCTGGCCTTCTGTGTAGATAGAAGCTATAGATTATGAATGTTTAATTATCACTAGTAATAGAAACCAGAGGCATAGATATCAATAGCTCAAGAAACTCTTGTTGGGAAACCACAATATACATGCATAAGTAATATGAATGTAAAGGGCAAAACATAAAATATCCTTCAAGTTTTCATAAAATGTCCTTGAAAGTTTGTTGGGGAGATGAGTTATATGAACTTGGGAAAATGATCATTTATTTCCTTGAATTGTTAGCTTGGTATAGAATCAGGGTCTCCAAGTTCAGAGAAGGGAGAATCACTGTGGACTTGACTAGCCAGAATTGCATTTTCAGGAGAGATGGAACTTAGGCCAGTCACTGAAGAAAGAAAAGGAAGAGATACAGCATTTTACAAAGAGGGAATTACATGGGATTATTCAAGGGGCATTTATATTTGACCAGAAAGAACACATTTTACTTGGCTATAGATATGTCTAAGCACTAAAAATGTCCTGCCACTCAGACAAAGTGATGTGGAAACCAGCTCAGGTAGAATCTCCTTCTTCTAAATGACTCAAGTATCAGTTCGGGGATTAACTGGCCTCTCTTCTCAGTATCTTTCTCTAGCTCATCCTTGCCTTTGAGGCACAGGAGTTGTACTATTTGCTAAATGAAGCTCAGATGGCAGATGAGTTACCTACCTGCTGGTGTACGAACAGAAGTATTATTGAATATAAAGAAAAGCTAATTAAATTATGTCATAATATTAGCTGTGGTGTTACAAAAGTAATTACCGGCCCAGATTCTATTCCACTGTCTTGTTGGGAACAAATAATTTCCTGATTAGATATTATCACAGGGCCAGTACCAAATAACTTTAAGCACATAGGATCTAATGAATACACAAGCAAACTAGTATCGGGCCAAGGGTGGTCACAACTGAAATTAGTGAATTTTCAGTGTCAGGATACTGTAAACCACACCAGAACCACTAAAATTCCAGATGCAAGGAAGTAAAAATCTAGGCACCTCAGTGACTCTAAATCAAAGGTAAGGATCAGCAATGAAGCAGTTTGTGATGTACTTCCTGCCATTCTAATTAGCCATCACTTACCTTTTCTGAGCTTCAGTTTCTCATCTGTAAAACAGGGTAATGATTCCTGCCCATATTATGAAGTTGTAATAGAGACTGAAAGAGATAAAGGATGTGAAAGGCATTTATAGAACGCAGGTGTGGGGTGAGCCAAGGATTTGAATCTAGGAAAAGGATAGCAGAACACTAAGCTAAGCAGTTGCTCTGGCGAGTAACCAAGAATTGATTGTATAATTTTAGAAATTATATGCAAACTGATGTGCACATTTCCCAAGTGTTCTTCAGAAAAATTGTTAGTTGTACTTTTTTTCTTGGCATGAAAAAGCAAAAGATAAAAGAAAGTTGTAAGGTCTTTGTAACGTACGTAGATATGTCAGGAAGAGAAAATTCCTTTATTGTGCTTTTTTTTTTTTTCTGTTAGTGTAGACATGGACTCAGTAAAATATAATACTATATACTGGAGTGCTTGAGCTATCATTGTGCCATTTGATCCTCACAGCAATCCTCTAATAAGTAACTTGATTTAGTCTCTATGTTAGAAACCAGAAAGGTTCAATGACTTGCCTAAGGTCACACAATGGTAGGGCTTGGACTTGAAATCATTGGTTTCTCTCCATTCTTTACAGCATACATTGTTGCACACCAAAGGGTGCTTATTTCTAATGTCTTGATATTTAGCAACCTATAGGGAATATTTTAAACTCATTAATTATTCTTGCTATTATAATATAATAAGCTGAGTATTGGCATTAGAGATATGCTTACTAATAATTTATCAGTGAGTTAATCAGGACTCTTGCATGCAAATAATAGAAACTTATCTCTAAGTTAGACAGAGATAATTTATTGACTCACACAACTGGGGAAGTCCAGAAGGTAAACTCCATTCATCTGGATCCTATAGTTCAAGTGTCACATTTCTCTCTCTTACCTCTGCTTTACTTTATGATGGCTTCCTTCTCAGGTGGGCTTTTCATATGGTACAAAGTGATCTTCCAGCAGCTCCAGGCTTACATGCTACCCACTGTACATGACTCAGAATGGAACCATAATTATCTGTCAGTAGCTGTAGAGTCTCTGAAAGGGGCACTGATTGGCTGCCCTTAAATCCTGTAATACCCTGG